AGTCAGATGCATCTGGAAGATTCCAGAGCAGAGAGAGAGAAGTAATTGACTGAACATGACCAAGGGGCTAGACTTGGCCTGGTTAGAAGTGGGAACAGAGAGAGAGTGTGGTAGAGGAAGAGGGGAGAGGGGAGAGGGGAGAGGGGAGAGGAGGGGAGGTGAGAGGGGAGAGAGAGAGAGAGAGAGAGAGAGAGAGAGAGAGAGAGAGAGAGAGACAGAGACAGACAGAGATTAAGTGTGAGAACAAGACAGTGAATAGTCAAAATAGCAGTTATAAGGAGAATGAGCGGCTGCAGAGAGGAAGCTGGGCAAGTTGAAGGTAGGGGAGGAACTGAGAAAGCTGAGATGCTAGCATGGACTCTGAAAGGTATAATAGACACTTGCCATCTTGAGGGAGCCTGGAGGCTAGCATGTACTTTAGCGTGCTAAGAGACACCACAGCCATTTGTCCCTTTTGGCCCATAAGGGGAACTTTTTTCTGAGGAAGGCCAATACTTTTGTTTAACTGACAGAATTTGGGGGTAGAGTTTCCTTTGGACCTGACATCTTCTGAGAGATGGAAATTGCCTTTTGTAGTGTGTTAAGGGCTGATAACCACTACTGATGTGGTATCAGCAAGCCTGGTGTGGTAGTGCAAGTCTTTAATCCCAGCACTCAAGGGGCAGAACTCTGTGAGTTTGAGGCCAGCCTGGTCTACAAATTGAGTTCTAGAACAGCTAGGACACAGAGAATCCTGTTTCAATAAATAAGTGAATACATGAATGAATGAATAAATAAATACAAAGATCATTAGCAACTCTCCAATATTGAATGGGAGAATAATCAAGGGACAGCCCCCCACACCCCCCGGGGAATTAGCAGATCTTCAGCAAGTCTCATACAAGGCTGGATCGAACACTTCAAGCCTTGTAATCTGGAATACATTTTCACCATTATTTGATTTTTAAAAAATCCATTCTGTAGGTCATATTCACTATCTTTATAAGAAATATAAATGAGATATTTTATCACAAAAATACAACCAGAGATGACATTACTCTCCATTATACAAGTAATAGAAAAATACTTGGAGTTGATATCAATAAAAGATTGCCTGGGCTAGAAATAATAATAAAAAAATCTTTGTATATTGTTAACTTTCATATTTAAGTTTAAAAAAAATTTTCAAAAGTGTGGAAAAGTTTAAACATTAAGGCCACAAATAGCTGCCCTTAAAACTTGTTGTTTCTAACATGTTGATATGTCTGGTTAAGCCTATTCTTTGATTAATAGAAATAACTATCACACTTATTTTGTTAGCTCCAGTCTAATTACTGTGCCCCTTGACAAAGGCAAAGAGTATTAATAAGTTTCATATATATCTTGCTTAATGTTTAGACTTTTTTTTTATTTTTGTACATATAGGATATCAAAAGGCATATGTGTATATAGGGGAAACCATGTGACACCTCTATGCCACTCACATTTTCATTTTGTGAAAATGTTCAGGCCTATCTGAACTGAGATATTTAAGTCAGGTTTATCACACTTAAACGCTAAGTATCACTCTTTCACATAAATATATACTATTGTATGGACTATTGAGACTCTCTTCTCCTTGACTGCTAGTTAAGCTGTTGCAACTTCTTTTTTATTGCATCAATAAAAGTCTCTACTTGCCGATTTGTATGTGAAATTTTCTCTAGCTTATGAATTTTATATATATGTGTGTGTGTGTGTGTGTGTGAGTGAGTGTGTGTGTGTGTGTGTGTGTGTGTGTGTGTGTGTGTGTGTAGCAGGTCGGGAAACATTCATATGTGGAGGGAAGAGGATAACCTAGGGTGTCATCCTCTGGAACACCATCCACCATTCCCAGTCACATGAACCAGCAACATGTTCCTGTTGGTAGAGATAAGAGAACAACCTTTCATGTTCCCTTATGTCCTCTAGTATTTGATGTTAGGAACTAAGTCTGCTGATACAATGGCTAGCAGAATCATATCCTCTTTTAGCTTTCATGGCCTTTGAGCCAATATGATCATATTCTCTCTCAATTATTGACTCTTTGGATCTCCTCTGAAACCCCTGGCATTTCCTTTGCCCATTGTCTTCTAGTCTGCATTTTTGTTGACTGGAGAGCATTCTTTATATATCTTGAACACTGGTATTTTATTGGAGACATGAAAAATATCCCCTAACAGGAGATAAAAGCAAAACTCGAAGCTACAAATCTCTGCCATCGGCACTTAGGAAAACTGGCAAAGAATCAAAGGTTCGAGAATCTTTATGGTCCTGAAGAGTCAGACTTGCCCAGGTTTCCTGATTCTTACCTTAGGCATCTCTTCTTAATACATACAAAAGAAAACATTATGGAAATGCTTTCTACTTATTCCTCTATTATCTGATACTCAAGCTGCTATTCATGTGTTGTTTCAAGTCCAAGGTGAGTTCTGTATTCTTTGTCAGGTAGTGTGTAAAGTCAAGAAATGTTCTTGTCTGTGTGTCTTTCATATGCTAACCTGGCTTTTGTGAATTGTGTTTCTGAGGATAAGATGTGGAGAACATGTCTGTGGACCTCATTGAAAAGGGCCAGGGCTTTTTATTTTGATAAAAGCCAAGTTCAAAAGTGGGTAGTTAGAATCTCAATATCTAGAGTCTCCTAAAACACTGACCTGTATCAATCCTGCCAAAAAACATTCTTTGCAACATTGATATTTTCCTAGATTCTTCTCTGAAAATTGAGTGTGTCTCACAAAATTGAAGATGAGTAGAAAATTAATTAAGTGCTGGACATTGAATGACAGCTACAGAACTCCATGACACTTTTGTTCCCTATACAATGGGAAACAAGACTAAAGAATCTCTCTTCCTTTGAGCTGCAGATCTCCAAAGTCTTGAACAGTCAGAGTGTATTTGCTGAAGGTTAGTGTGTCTTTCAGTTGTTCTTAGGAAAAGCCATTCATCAACAGCCCAAATCCAAGTTTAAAAATACTGAGAAATTCCATAGCACAGGCACAGTGACCCAAGACTCCTATTGAGTTTCAGGAGGAAGCCTGTCAGAAGGTCCCTATCCCATCGTCTGTCAACAAACACAGAATGACCTCCATGTTTAGAACACTGTTTCCATGTTCCAAGTATCATGTAGATCACAATAAACTTCACAGGCCTGCTAGAGAGACAACTACCAACTGTAGGGTTTTGATTTTAATTTAATTTCTGTCTCCTCTACATATCTGCAGCATGCTAAATGTTCAGTGGACTGGAGTATAGTAAGCGCTTTAAAAACACTTTCCCCTGTGACTGTACTTTTACCTAGCTGTCTCCAATATATGTGGACCAAGCTTTAAACATCGTGTATGTTCATTATGTTTGCCTTTCAGCTGGAGTGGACAAATGTTCCCTCAAATATGATTCCACCAAGGGACAGAGTTTCTAATTTTGCTCTGTTCAGACCTCTCTGTATAAGTCTGCCCCGAAAGCTGCTTAATCAAACACCTCAAATGTCAGAAATGAAGTTTAAAGGGTTTTCCGTGGCAAGTAGGTCTAATCTTCTACTTAGTTCTGATTCCCGTAGTGTAGTAATCTCTTTGGAGAGAAGGCCTGCTTCTAGCAGGGTAAACATACCCCATAGGATGGATTTCTTCTTCTGGAAAGAAAAAAGAAGCATTAATGAAATTTACCTTTTCCTGGAGCTTTTGGAAAGGTTGAAAGGCTTTCTCTTCTAGCAGATGTTTTTTTTTTTTTAAAAATATAGATATGTATGTATGTATGTATGTATGTATGTATGTATGTAGTGTGTATATGTATGTATGTGTGTATGTATGTGTGTATGTATGTATGTATGTATGTATATAGGTTGGATTTGATTTAAAAAACTCAGTTAAGTATAACAGTGGTGCTTCATGTCAAAGTAACCAAGCTATTCAGGTGACATGTTGGTCATTGGTACTATTCAATGTGAGTGCATCCCGATTTCTTCCTGCATCAGCCTGCAAAGACACAAATATCAGGAAAGGGTTAACATCACATGCACAAACTGCCTTTTACATAGTTCCCCACAGGATAATTAGCCACATTGTTCAATCAAAGAGCTGTTGATGAACAGATAAAAATAAAAAAGACAAACAAACAATCAAAAACCACCATCCTATGTGCCATTTTCTTTGGGGACTTTGAATGATGGTTTGATTAATATGGTTTGTGTGTATGCATGTGTGTTGGGGGTTTATTTTTTGTTTTTATCAAAATCAATGAGAACATTGAGCTTCTTTATAAAGGATGTGTGAAGGGATACTTAGAGAAGCATGGGTAACCAAAACAGGTAATCAGTGCCTGCTTCATTCTATCATGGAGGTCACCCTCATCAACGCTGTATCATGGAGTCTCACTTCCAGTTACCTTCCAGCTGGTGATGTCTCATTCATAGAATACATACTGAACCTCCATAATCTAAAAATCTAAAATCCAACATGGTACAAACCCAAACCTTTGAACACTAACCTGATACCACAAGTAGACACTGTTCTGGCCCCACAGAACAAAATACAGAAACATAAAATATATGTATATGTATGTATACATGTAATATATGTATGGCATGCCTGCAGGCTCTGCTTGCAAGATGCACAGAAAAGCAATGGATGTCATGTTCGGATTCGGGTCTCATGCTCCATGTACCTCCTTTCATATCTGCACATGTTCCAAGCGGCTTAGTAGGACATATTCTGGTCATTGGCATTTCAAATACAGGGCATTGAATTTGTATTCCCAACTCAAACTCCAGAGGGGTTTCTCCAGAGTTCTTGTTAAAGTTAGCCAACAGCCCAGATGCAGAGTCTGATGTATTTCACTTAGTTCTGCCTTTGTGCCATTAGGTCCACATAAGCCAGCCCTGATATTCCCCATCTCCACTGACTCATCCACAATTATTGCCATAGGAATCCTAAGGGAATGTGTTTAGTAAACGAGGGCACTTAGCCTTTGGTGTTTTTCCATGGTGACATTTTGCTTTTCCCTTACAGTCTTCCAGTGAGGAGAAGGAGGAAGCTGCTTCTCTTGAGGACCACCCCCAGTACACGCCCTTGCCTTCTGGATCCAGAGAGCTCACCAGTCACCGAGGTAGGAACTCAGCTTTCTATTGTTCTCAGTGATTGTAGCCTGATACTTGGCTATGCAGAACTGGTGAGCTCTGTAGTCCTTACTGTGCCTGTCCTGTGACAAGGAGCCTAGTGCTTCTTAGGCTCTTGATAGGAAATCTGTACTGTCAAACCTAAAGATTTTAACTTGTATGAGCAGGGAAGACATATAAAACCATGGTATAATTTTGTGACCCCCTCCCTTTTAAACAGAAAGATTATAGTATTTAATAATTACTTAGAAGACCATTCCATGCAGTAATAGTAATGGAGAGACATTGAGAAACTTGGTAGTATTTGTTAAATAGCAATGCATGGAAATATAAGAGTTGAAATGTATAATTTCAAAGAGAGTAAACTCTGTATTACGGCTCAAAGAAACTTCAGTTTGCCTGGCAAGTTCAGAAAGAACCTTGATTTCTGTTGGCTTCTTTGGTCCTGAAAACATAAGTTGGTTTATGTAGTTCTTCTAGTACTAAAATCCTGTTGCCATCTTTGACAAGTTATGTTTCAAAAGCAAGCAGAATTCTGACATAGAGTACTGTTTACAAAAGTCTTGTCCCTTAACCAGTTTCTGGGACCAAGGAATATGTCACTGGCTGAGTTGAAATTGCTAGGGGCAAAAAGAGGCCACATGATCTGACCCATTTACCATTTGATCCTCCTGTGACCAGAGCTCTGCTTCTTAACTGTGAATCTGTCTTTCCAGGTTAAAGAAGGACAGGCTTAGAAGAGGGACATTATGCACTTTAAACACTGCTTGCTCCAGTATGAAATTCCCATAGGGTCACTGAATGATTACTAACTTGCTTGGTCATCTTTGTGCTGCTGTATGGATGGAATAAAAGGCTATGGGGAGGCTTCAAAAGTGCCAGCAACTTATGGACTGTGTGAATTGGACGTTAATAGTCTGATGGAAGTGATAAAGGGAGTAGTGTAGAGCTTCAGGAACCTGTGAGTTGGACATGGCTTGACTGGCCAACATGTGGGTATCAGTGAAACTGTTTTATATGTAAATTTTGACCAAATGATAGGTCAATTGTGATTTCCTTTATCAATTATCAGCTTTGGGCAACTCAACTTAGCTCAGTCAGGTGGAATAGGTTCCGGGATTCTGCTGTCCCAGGAGAATAAACCAATCTCTGTTATAGATGTGCTCTTGGAGGTCTTGAATACTTCTCTTGGGACTGTTGGGTGGGGTACCAGGAGAAAGAGTCACAGAGGTACTACAAGGAGCAGTGCAGACACTCTAAAATTAGCTTCATGTTTTCTGGCACCAAGGTAAGGATAATTGTCCTCTCTAGCCTGTTGAATAATTTTCATGAAGACTGGACTCTCTGAGACCCCACGTGTACTTACAAAGACTTTATCTGCAAATGACATTCAGATTTCACTATGGGAGAATCTGATGAGATGACTGGTATTCATGAGGAATGAGTCAAGAGAGCATGTTAATAGGAAAATGTAAGCCTTGAAGGGGGAGATAAAGGAAGGTATGCTGTGTGTGTGTGTGTGTGTGTGTGTGTGTGCACTTTCATGTCTGTCTGTCTCTGTCTCTGTCTCTGTCTCTCTCTCTCTCTCTGTGTGTGTGTGTGCCTGCACTTTCATGTCTGTCTCTCTCTGTCTCTGTCTCTCTCTCTCTGTGTGTGTGTGTGTGTGTGTGTATGTTTATGTATGTTGTGATGTGATGCTGAGGACCAAGCCCAGATATCCTGTATACAGGCAAGTTATTATATCTTTGACCTATGTCTTCAGTCCAAGTTTTAGGGGTAGTTTTAGTAATATTTGTAATGGCAAAAATTAATGTAAATCAATACTCCTGGATGGCATCACAGTCTAAAAATGGGAAAAGTACAAAATGCTGTTTAAAGGGATATAGCAACTGATATCTCAGTTTTACTGAGAAATAGCCTCATACATTTAATGCAATTGCCTGGTCCTCTGAACTTCTGGTATCATAAGTTGGGTGTTGAAACTAGAGTCTGCATCATGTAACAGTATTCTCTAGGTGCATGGTCACAAGGAGACAAAGAGAGCCAAAGAAGCTCCTGGAGGCTAGCTGTGTTTTTAGTATCCAACTAAGGAAAAGGTGCAATCACTATACTTCATATTGGCCTGAATTATATACTACCAGATAAAGAAATCATTACTATCTTGGTACCCAAAATAAAACTACTTAATATCATGCTATGTTTTCACATTTAAGGTTATCATTCTAAAATTCATATAAATTATCAAAGCACTTAAATGCTGTTTATTAATTACTTCATGGAAATGGATCGTGAGCACCTATGCTGAGGGACCTTATTCATAGCGTGGAGGCAGACTGCCTCACTCTTGTCAAAATCCTTGCCAATGCCTCTTCTACAGAACCAGAGATGGAATATCTATTCAGAAACAATTGTTGATCCACTCAGCTCCCAATCTATTTTCCTTCCACATCAACAACTACAAAAACTGTTGGGTAGGCGTTCGTGTTCATGTGCAAATTGCTGCTTCCCTATGCCCAGTCTATTTTCATTTGTCCTTTTCTGTAACTTTCAATGTCAAATTTGATGGACCCAGGATTCGTGTCTCAAGAATAATAGTAAAAGATAAAGAAATGCTGAGCCTAGACTGATGGTCAGGAGGTGGGGAACTTTATTTTTCTGTTTGAATCTCACATATACGCCATCTATCTTATGTATAGTCAACTGAAACTTCCTATTTTGAGCTGTATGGAGTTTTCTTTCTCTTGGAAACATTTAGCATATTCCTTTGCAGCTCCTAATGTAATTGTCCATCTTCTCCTTTCTGTGACAGCTGTCGTGTGTGTAAATTCATGAATGCAAGCCTTATAGAGGCAAGGCTAACTCTCTTCCCCACTTCCTAGCAACAACTCTTCAGTTCTTCAGTTATCAGGTTGAATACCTAAAACTAGAGGGAAAAGTACCTCTCTAATTCTATTGCTTATATCCATATTGGGTTAGTTTTCTCTAGATGCCAGCTTGGGGGAGTAGAAAATACTATCCCTACATTTTTGTGTCTGTATCTGTAATGCCTGGCATGGGACCTTAATACTCAATATATATTTGTTTGGGTTTGGGTCAGTATCCTGCAAAGCATATTGTATTCAAGGCTGGATCACCAACCCATGACCCTTTTAGAAGTTGTGGGGCCTTTAAGTGGGGGATCTTTTCTAAAATTAATTAATTAATTAACTAATTAATTAATTTACATCCCAAATGCAGTTCCTCCTTTTGTCCCCCACCCAACACAGAATTCTTTTGTCCATCCTCCCTCCCCTTCTACTCTGAGAGGATGCCCTCCCCCCACTCAACATCTCCCTACCCTGGCACATCAAATCTCTGCCAGACTAGGCATATCGTTTCCCACTTAGGACAAACAAGATAGCCATGGGGAGTGAGCTACAAATCTGCTACATATGTTCCAAGGGCGGGGCGGGGGGGGGGCTCGTTCCAGCTCCTGTGTGTTCTTGGTTGGTGACTTGGTCTCTGTGAGCTCTCAGGGGTCCAGGTTAGTTGACTCAGTTGGTATTCTTGTGGGGTTCCCATCCCTTTCACGTACTTCAGTCCTTCCTCCAACTCTTCCATAAGAGTTCCTGAACTCTGTCCAATGTTTGGTTGTGGGTATCTGCATCTGTTTCAGTCAGCTACTGGGTAGAGCCTCTCAAAGGACAGTTATGCTAGGCTCCTGTCTGTAAGTGTAAGAGAGTGCCATTAATACTGTCAGGGAATGGTGTTTGCCCATGGGATAGGTTTCAAGTTGGTTTGGTTATCAGTTGGCCATTCCTTCAGTCTCTGCTCCATCTTTGTTCCTTAATATCTTTTAGACAGGACAAATTTTGGGTCAAAAGTTTTGTGCGTGGATTGGTTTCCTTATCCCTCTAATGAGGGTCCTGCCTCATTACAGAAGGGTTCCATGATTTCAATGTTAGGCATCTTAGCCTAGGGTCGTCTGCATTGATTCCTGGGAGCTTCCCGGATCTCAGGTCTCTGGAACTTCCTAGAGATTCCCCCACCCCTCCAACCTCCACCCCAACCCCCACAGCTGCGGATTTCCATTAATTTTTTTGGTCCTCTGGGGCTCTTTCTTGTCTCTCTTTACCTAATCGTGCCTTCCCATTCCCCTCCCCCTCCCCTCTCACACTCTGTTCCCTCCCTTCCTCTGCCATCCATGACTATTTTGTTTTTCCTTTTAAGTATGATTTAAGTATCCTTGCTTGAGTCTTCTTCTTTAACCTCTTTGGGTCTGTGGGGTGTATAATGGATATTTTGCACTTTATGGCTAATATCCACTTATCAGTGAGTGTATACCTTACATGTCCTTTTGGGTCTAGGTTACCATTCCTTTGCCTACAAAATTCATGATCTCCTTGCTTTTAAATAGATAATAGTGTTAAATTATGTAAATGAACCACATTTTCTGTATTCATTCACTCTTGAGTTGAAGAACATCTGGGTTGTTTTCAGTTTCTGGCTACTACAAGTAAAGCTGCTATGAACATATACTTGCATTTCTCCTTATTGTATGGTGGAACATCATTTGTGTATATGCCCAGGAGTGGTATAGCTGGGTCTTCAGGTAGAACTATTTCCAATTTTCTGAGAAACTGTCAGATTGATTTCCAGAGTGGTTGTGCAAGTTGGCAAAGCCATCAGCAATGGAGGAGTGTTCCCCTTTCTCTACATCCTTGTAAGTATGTCCTGTCAATTGAGATTTTGATTTTAGCCATTCTGGTTGGTATAAGGTGGAATCTCAGGGTCATTTTGATTTGCATTTCCCTGATGACTAAGGATATTGAACATTTCTTTAAGTACTTCTCAGCCATTCAAGATTCCTGTGTTGAGAATTCTGTTTAACGCTATACTCCATTTTTAATTGGGTTAAATGTCTGCCTAATGTAGGGTTAGAGAAGATCCTTTCGCAATCTGTAGGTTGCCATTTTTCCTAGGCTTTTCATTTTCATGAAGTCCCATTTAC